CACACACACACACACACACACACACACACACACACACACACACACACCCCCTTACTTTAGCCTTCTCATCCCCAAAAGCCAAGTCCCAAGAAAAGGCAAGATAACTGTTCCATGCATCAACTGCTAGAAACATAGTGTTGGATGGGACCCAAGAGTCCCGACCCACTGCTTAACGTACAGGCTAATGCATTTCCATAGTCACTACTTAAAAAGTAGAATCTCCTTTCATATAATGAAATCCATAGACCTGGGTAGCTATGAATAGCCATCACCAAATAATCCTATTTACCCTCAGGTATTTCAAAGAATCTGAGAATTTTCAGCTAGGAGGAAACTTTAATACTCCTTGAGGGGCGAAGGAATAGGCTTTGGGAAAGGTAGGGCAATCAGAAGAGTTATCTCCTTCCTTACTGTCACCAACCCACCCAGCCCCAAAATTTGCCCTGTTAGCCTCTCCCTTTCTTTCCAATTTACCTAATCCCCAAAACAAACTCCTATAGATAGGTGTGGTAGATACTAGACTTGGAGAGGGTAAACAGAATGTTCTAGGTGAGCAATGAAGACCAGATTCAAATCTAGCAGCAGTATCACTAGTTGTAAGACCCTGGGCAAGTCATGTAACTTCTGTTTGCCTCAGTTCCCTCATCTGTAAAATGGGGATAATAACAGCACCTACTTCCCAGGGTTGTTGTGAGGATCAAATGAGCACTTAGCATAATACCTGTACATAGTAAGGGCTATATGTTATTATCATCATCATCTTCTTCATTAGGAATTGCTGCCAGGAAACCTTTCACTCAGCAGGTGTGTGATTTCTACATGGAGGATCATTTAGTATGAAAGGATGTTAGAGCTAAGGATCATGCGTCCACCCCTACTCTTATCCCCTCCATTTCACAGATGGGGACAAAAATGCCCAGAGTAAGGAAGTAACTTGTGAATGCTTACAGAGTCAGGGTCAGACCTGGTACTCCAGTGTCCTGACTCCCAGGCCAGAATTCCCTGTTTCCCTGTTTTCTAAGCCTATCAATACAACAGAGGGAGCAATTTTAAAGTACTCCCCATCTATCTCACTGTAGATGACCAGCTCCTACCAGAGCCTGTTAACTTTTGGTCTGTGGCCATTTCAATAGGAGGAAAACCAACTGCAAAGAAAAGAACCCTAACATGGCACTTTGTTGGCACTTCCTAATGCGCGTGTATGAGAGACACTAAAGTATTCTTATGGAGGTAGCCCTGGCTTCTCAAAGGCAATGCTAGCAGAGTGTAAGGTCTGCCTGATCTTATAAAATGGAAAGGCTTTGATTGTGGGCAAACCTTTCCCCAAGTCCCACAAAAGACCAGGCTGGCTAAGTTCTGACCAGATTGGCTGCAGGGTAATAAAGTCTACAGCCAGAGCAATTCTTTAAATTGTTGTTGTTCAGTTGTTTTTCAGTGGTGTCTGACTTTCTGTTTAGGGTTTTCTTGGCAAAGATACTGGACTGGTTTGCCATTTCCCTCTCCAGCTCATTTTATAGATAAGGAAACTGAGACAAACAGGATTAAGTGACTTGCCCAGGGTCACACGGCTAGTACGTATCTGAGGCTGGATTTGAACTCAGGTCTTCCTGACTCCAGACCCAGTGCTCTGTGCACTAAGCCAGCTCGGCAAATACCTAAAACCAGCTGTGACGTCTCTCCCCAGAGAAGACTCTATCCCAGATTCTCCATCCTAGATGTCCACCCCTTGGTCCTCCAACCTGATGTTCCAAAATGACTTAACATTCTGGCTGCCCTCTTCTGGAGGCTCTACAGCTTGTCTAGATCTTTTCTAAATCTGGAGCCCAAAGTGACCACAGCCCTCCAGGTGCAGTCTGACCACGACAGAGGGCGGAGGAAGGACTGTCATCTCCCTAGTTACAGATCTGAGGGAACCTCCTTATTTTACGGGGCGGGAAACTGAGGCCCAGGGAAGTTACATGACTCCCTCAAGGTCTCACAACGGAGGGAGCAAATCCAGTCAGGTCCGAAGCCTAGTGCTCTATCTCCGGCTTCCCTCAGGGAGTCCTGGGGGTGCTTTGTGGGGGATGGAGGGGCTGTCAAGTCACATGACTGTCTCACGTGGACCCTGCAGGACGCTAGACCCCGTAGCAGCAGAAGCAGCGGGTCCTTTCCTCCTGAGAGTACTACCATCCCCCCAAACACCAGGGGACATCTCGAGGCAAAGGCTTGGGACAGGGGTCCTGGAGGACCCCCTTAGAGATCAGACTCCCACATTTTACAGACCCTGGGCCTTAGCCCACAGCCCCGCTATCCCCGCATCCATCTCTCCCCTCCACCCGTCACCAGGACGCCCCCGAGCCGCAGGGCCCCCGGCCCTGCCCTCACCCGGGGCCGCCGCGCCACCGCCTGCTGCACCCGTTCCTTCACCGCCCGCAGCGCCAGCCCGACACCCAGCTCAGCCGACATGCCGGCAGCTCTCCACACAGCCCAAGCAGCTTCAGCACTGGACCCCGCCTCTCCCGCGGCGGCGGGGCCCGCGCGCCGGCATGGACCTTTTTCCGGTTCCGCCCACTCCTTGCTAGTTAGACCAATCACCACACGCCACTGGGCTCTCCCGGCCAATGGCTATGCGGCCCCTTGACGGCGATGACGTCCTCGCCTCCCAAGAGAGGCCATATTTAGGAGGTCGGGGCATCGGCACCATTAAGTAACAAGGTGGGGGGGTGAAGCTGAGAGAAGGGGATGTTCTGAGTGGAAGAGTCGAGACAAAGAAGGGTGGACGTTGTGGGTTCGCAGGATATGAGCAATCCTATGAGATCTGTCGTGTCCCTCAGTTATTTGGGGGGCACAGCGACGCCCTACAGGATCCCTTCAGTTCCTTCACTCCCCCTCCCTCCCACCCCCACTCAGAATATGGATCAGTCCCCTCCTGCCTTCAGAATTCAGGTGCTTAGTCTTAGAGAGGCTTGACCTTGTAGGTTTCTGACGCTCCAGTTCTCTGGAGGCAGGGACCCGCTTACGGACTTCACTAATATATAACGCACTCATGTACTCATACTGTAACTCACATGTAAAGTGGCAAAGCACTTCGCTCACAATAACCTCGTGGGATCGGTAGCGCAATATTTTACAGATGAGGAAACTGAGGTTCAGAGAAGTAAAATGTGTTGCTCACAGTCACTCAACTAAGAGGCGTTAAGAGTTGTAATTCGTGCGGTGTCTTCTGACTCGAAAGGCTAGCACTTTGTTACCACCACATCGCAGTGTTCCCACAGTTAGCACATACCCCAGTTGAGTTGTATAATTACTGTTTTTACATCGCAATCATTTTGGGGGAATCTGCCCCTCACCCTACTCCACTATATGATTTTATGTATGTGATTACCACCACTAGTGCCGATTGATTCCTGATAATTCTGGGCAGTTCTCACTTCAAGGGAAACAATGACATATTAATTTTAGCAACCACAGTATGCCCAAATACAAGTGTAAGTCATAGCGTAGTACCTCTTCCAGAGAAGGGGTAACCCTAGAGGGTTACCAAAATAAAAACAAAAACTAAACTGTCAAACAAAGAAAACTCAGTAACATCAGTAAGAGCATACCACCCCTTTCTGTAGTCAAATGCTAGTGGGTAGCTTTAAAACCTTATCCCTGTATTTAAAAAACTTCAGTCAACAATAATTTATTAAAGGCTTACTCTAAGGCAGGCACTGTGCCTAGGTAGGACATAACAAAGAAAGAGATCACAAGCTAATGGGAGAGACAACATTCAAACCCCTATGCACAAACAAGCCATATACAGGATAAATCGTAGATAATATTAGCTGGAACGCACTAGCACTGAGAACCGCAGAAATTCCTTTCAGAAAGTGGGATTTGAGCTGAGACTTGAAGTCAGCAAAGCTAGGAGGCAGAGAGGAAGAGGGAGAGACTTGCACGTATGGGGAGTGGGGCAGCCAGTGAAAACAATCGGGGGGGGGGGGAATGGGGGAGAAATGAAACTTAAGAACAATTATCAAGAATACTTTAAGGAAAGCTATTTATTTAAAGTCCTTATTCTCAAGGAGCTTATATTCTACTTTTCAGTTTATAAGGTGGGAAGGGTAAGAGGAAAATTGATCTTAATTGGGTAAGGAGACAATCAATGCTGAGTTTTGGGGAGAAATCAATGTCAGCAAAGGGGTAAGTGTTGGCTAGGGTTGCATGGAATGGCATCCGATATTTTTTAATTGAAGCATTTTGTCTACAAATAAGGGAGTAGGTAATCTAATTTTACTCTGCTCTAATCAGACCATTTTCATAGTCTTGGGGTCAATTGTGGGCCTCACATTTTAGGCTGGACATTGACAACCTGGAGGCCATCCAATCTTCACCAAGGATCCAAGATCACTATAGGATCCAAGATCACTATTACCATGACAGTACTTCAAAGAACTTCTCACATGCAGTTATTTCTACCTTTCCTCCTAGACTGTGAGCTGTATGTGTGTAAGAGTTATGTTTTATTTGAAGGCACTTGACAACATGGCTGAAAACACCAGGCTAAATGGGAGCATTGTCCATTTTCCAGAACCCAGCAAACACACCATCATGAAATTGACATCCAATGCTGATGAACTTCTCTGGACAACCAAATTTTGACATAATTTTTCATAAGCTCTCATGATTGACGGTATCAAAGACTGTGGGTCAGATCTACAAATGCTGTGTACAAACCTCTGTTCTGCTCTTGGCATGTCTCCTGGAGCTGTCGGGCAACAAACACCACCAAGGCATGGCAAACACAGCATCAAGAATCAACTACTGCACTGATGGCAAATTCTTGAAAAGGCTACAAGCCAAGACCAAAGTGGAGGGAGTGTTGGTGCGTGATTTTCTGTTTGCAGATGATTATGCACTCAGTGCAGCCTCTGAAGCTGAGATGCAATAAAGTAGGGATCCATTCTCTGCTGCGTGTGCTAATTTTGGCCTAACAATTAACACCAAGAAAACACAGGTGCTTCATCAGCCACCACCACACCATCCATATGTGGAACCATTGGTTTCAGCAAATGGAGAAGTTTTGAATGCTGTGGATAAATTCACTTACCTTGATAGTGTACTTTCCAGGGATGTTACACATTGATAATGAGGTTGACCCACGAACTGCCAGAGTTAGCTCAGTGTTTGGGAGGCTCTCAAGGAAAGTATGGGAGAAAAGCGGTATTAGACATGACTACCAAACTCAAGGTCTTCAGAGCCATTGCACTGACCTCATTGTTGTATGCCTGTGAAACCTGGATGGTATACCAGTGCCCTGCCAGGAAACTAAATGGATTTCATTTAAATTGTCTTAGGAATATTCTGAAGATCGCCTGGCAAGATAAGATACCAGACTCTGAGGTGCTTTCTCAAACTAAACTGCTAAGCATTCAAACTTTACTTCAGACAGCACAACTCTGATGGGCTGGCCATGGTGTTTGAATGCAAAATGTACGCTTGCCAAAAAGATTATTTTATGGAGAACTCACACAGGGCAAGCGTTCACATTGTGGTCAGAAGAAGCATACAAGGACGCTCTTAAGGTCTATCTTAAGAACGCTGGAATTGATTGTGTGACATAAGAGACATGGGCACAGGACCGCTCAGTATGGCATGCCCACATCAGAGAACGTGCTGCGATCTATGAGTAAAACAGAATTGAAGTAGCTCAAAAGAAACTCGAGATGTGCAAATTTAGAGAATCCACCCCAAATGTTCACATGGACTATTTGTGCCTGACCTGTGGTAGAACATTCCGAGCTCGTACTGGTCTGATCAGCCACAGTCAGATGTCATTTTGGTCCTCTTTGAGAAAAACGAACGACAACAACCAACCTTTCATTTAATTTAATGCATATTTCCCATCCCATGTGATAAGCAAGTCACAATTTCTCTCATCTCCAGGAAACTCTCTAAATTTGGACTATAGAATCACAACTGCCTTGATGGAGGGATATCTCACACATGGGTTTTCCACAATTTGATATGAAAGTTCTTGTGATTCCTTTTAATAATCTGCACATTGCTCTGCTCAGTGTGGGCTCTTAAAATGACATTTTTTGAAGTTAAAGCCTTTGCCCATAGGAAATTCCAAACCATTATTTCTCTACTGCTATTTTGTGAATCTTAGATCACTGTGGAAATATGAACTCTTAATATGCATTGATCTGATGGATACATTATTTCATGCATGTAATTACAGTCTTCACTAGTACAGACTAGCTTCTCTCATCATCGTGTGTAGTTTTTACTTAAAGGGAACCAATGACATCTTAATTCTAAAATCCACTGGCTTTTTTCCATTTCTTATCTTCCATGAACTTTCTCCACATTCAAAACTGTCCTCCTCTCCTCCCTCTCCTGGATATGGTCTCTTCCTTTGCTTTCAGAATACTGTTCTCTCCTGGTTCACCTCCCTTTCTGATTGCTCCTTCTAGTCACCTGTGATGGTTCATATTCCTTCTTCTGTCTGGCCCTGTCTTTTCTCTATATACATTCTCTCTCTATATTCTCTTTCCACGATTTCATCCGCACACGTGCTTTTTTTTTTTAATTGAATCTTTCTATCATGTTCAGTTTGGAAGTACCACTCATGGGACTGACTCCATTACTGTTCAACACAGAAATTTTGACCTGACTCAGGCTGGTCTACCCCTCTTAGGCAGCCCGATGGCTTCATGTTTCTGGGAGCTTACCATGTTGGCACTAGCTGGCACTAAGTCAGTGCTAGATTTAGTGCAGACGCTGGATTGGCTTTAGCTCTGTTGCAGCTCAGAACTCTTGAACTCAAGCATCCATCATTCTTATCCTCCCAGTAGTGGGGACTCCAGGTATAGGATGCTATACCTGTTCTTGTTCTGACTCTTCCTGACGCCATTATGGAGTTTTCTTGGCAAAGACATTGGCATGGTTTGCCATTTCCTTCTCTGATGGATTGAGGCAAATAAAGGTTAAGTGACTTGCCCAGGGTCATACAGCTGCTAAGTGTCTGAGGCTGGATTTGAACTCAGGTCTTCCTGACTCCAAGCCTGGCGCTCTTTCCACTGAGCTATCTAGCTGCCTTTTACACCCGGCTATCTATACTTTCAATGATAAGACTCAAAAAATATTCCCAAACTTTCATCCTGCACAGAAATTACTTTGCATTTACTTTGTATAGATATTTTGCATTTACTTTTAGAATCTCTTAATTGGAAGATACCTCACAAGCCAATTAGTCCATTTGACATGTAAGAGGATGCAGTAGAGGGGAAAGAATGCTGACATAAGATGTTAGTTATCCTCCCTGGCTTTGTGACTTCTGCAGGGGACAAACATGATGTCTCTATCCACATCACTGATAAATATGTTAAACAATACAGGGCCAAGCACAGATCCCTGGGACACTCTACTAGAGTGCCTACACCGATACCAACCTTTAAAAAATATTTGACACCAACCTATTAATGGCTACTCTT